TATGAATGTTTTCTCCAAGGAATTATGATTTTTTGCCTTTCCATCTACATCGCCAGTCCGGCACCTGTTGATCGTGGCTCCTCTATCGCCGTCCCAACCATAGTTCTCTTTTCTTCAGGAGATGGTTATCGACCTTCCATCTCTCGAGTGCCTTCTTCAGGATCCAGATGGTGTACCTCATCCTCTTGTTCTCCAAGGTCTCTTGCATCTCATAGTGTAGTCTATTTCAGGGAACCTTGGTCGGTCAAGGGAGTTTCGCAATCAACTCCCCAACTTATCAAGGGTGCACCCAACACGAGACAGGCTTATAAATCTGCTTGGAGCAGATGGCATAGTTGGTGCATGAAATTAAATTTAAATCCCATATCGGCTCCTTTTATGTCTGTCCTCCATTTTTCTGACTTCTATGATGAAGGTAAAGCCTATTGCACTGTGGACCTTACCGATCGTCCATTTCTGATGGCCATCAAAGTTTTGATTGGACGCCTGTCTGTTGACATCCTGTCATATATTGACTTCTCTGAGGAATATGGTTTGCTCATTCACCCTTACCACGATACTCTGTCTTGTGGGACGTCTCTATATTGTCTTGAATTTTTTTTTTTTTCTTGCAAGAGGTTTTTCTGACGTACGAGCTTGTGAGGTGGTTGCTCGTTCCTTTACTCCAGAAGGTGTCCTCTTTGACATTTCACGGAGGACAAAAACCTCCTCTAAAATCTAGCTTACCCAGTTTTCCCTGATAGATCTCTCCTTTGCCCTGTTGCATACTAATGGGTGTGTGAACATTGTTCTACTACGTTACAGAATCCTTTGAAACAGGAACTCTTCATCTCCTTCCAAAAGTCGCATCTTCCGGTGTCTACTCTAGCCTGGTGGGTCAAATACGTTATGTCTCTAGCAGGTATTGATACCTATGTGTCTGTGCCTCATTCGGTTCGTAGGGCAATGGCTTCTAAGGCTTCCTCGATTGGTTGTCGCTTGGAGGATATTATGAGAGCGGCTGGTCTTCGGAGTCTACATTCCATGATTTCTACTTTAGACTTATTCAACACTTCACAGGAGACATAATTTCACAGCTTTGAACTAGCATAATAGGAGCCTCCGTGTCTTAATAAAATTTACAGATTTTACTATTAACATGACGTAAAGTCATGATTTTATTAATGACACGGAGGCGAGTATTATCCCTCCCTCCCATCCCTGGAGATTTTGTCTTCTCTGGGTAAGTTGACTTCACGGTAAGTCTTTTTTGATTACTGGGTTTTATCCTTGTTAATGACTGTCAAGAGCTTAAGGTTTGACTAAACTGAAGTTCATGTTATGTGTATATATATATCTGATATTTCATGTAATGCGAATTTATGCATAAATCCAGTTTTATACTTGGATATTACCATATTCTCTTTTCTCTTCCAGCTTGACTTCGAGATCCAGTTTAAGGCTCGTATACCCTCTAATTGGAGCCCACTTTTTATTTGGATTTGTTGACCTTGTTCGGGATCGCAAGAAAGAGGAAGTAGTATACTGGACACTGCCTATTATGCTATAAAGAGGATGCTGATTGGCTGTTGCTGTTGCTAGGAAGATATACCTCATGTTATTTACTGGTTTCTTTTATACTGATTTAATGTTATTTTTCTTTGCTGCTGAGGTAAATAAAGAAAGAGTGCAGCATAATAGGAGCCTCCGTGTCATTAATAAAATCATGACTTTACGTCATGTTAATAGTAAAATCTGTAAATTAATCCCTTATACAAAGTGGTAGTTGGAATTTATAGTGAAAATTTATTGCAATGCTAAAGCGCCATCTACTGATGAATATCTATAAGACAATCATTAGAAGAAGATACACCCAACTAATTCCATTGGTCACTTTAAATCGGTAATGAAAAGAAATTCAAAATAAGGAATTCTTTAAAAATAAGAACATTACACTGTTAAAAAAATCCAAAGGTGGGATTCAAAAGGTGGGATGCAAGATTCACAAACTGGGGATTCAGGAGATCATCAAAACATTATCACATCAGACCAGACAAAGGAACACTCTGGACACACCTTACTCTGCTCCTTTTCAACTGAATTTCTTTGGTAGCCAAATTAATTCTGACTTAGAGATCTTACAGAAAAATCCTATATCCCTACTAATAGAGTTGAGTGAACCTGGACTGTAAAGTTCGGGTTCGTACTGAACATTACGTTTTTTTGGACCCTGGACCCAAACACGGACATATCAGTGTATGTTCGGGTTGGAGTTTGGTGTTCGGCGATTAAATGGCGCGTTTTGAAAGGCTGCAGGGCAGCCAATCAATAATGGCATGGCTGTGATTGGCCAGTGCAGCATGTGACCCAGCCTCTATATATAAGCTGGAGTCACGTAGCGCTGCATGTCACATGAGCTCTTATTAGTGTAGGGAGAGGATGCTGACGCTTTCAGGGACAGATTAGGAAAGAATTCTGCAAACTAGTACATTAGTTGGGTGCAGTTCATATCTGAGAGTCAAATAGAAGTGTCAAATACTGTGGTTACATCGGAGTTTTAAAAAGTCAATTTTTTTTGGTGCTAAATAGTACACCAAAAAGGCCTTCTAAAAAAAGACATGAGCACCTTTTTTTAATAATATCTCTCTACCGAAATTAACACCAAATCAATAAATCAATTGCTACAGCTAAATAAACCATTTACAAAAAAAGAAATTAACAAGTTGCATTGATAAACTAAAAAACAAAAAAAAACACCTGGGCTGCATGGACTTAATCATCTTTTCTATACGTTAATGAAAAATAATATAAAAAAAAACCTGTTAGATGTGTTTAATACCTTTGGACAATCAACTAATATCCCTACAGAACTACTGCAGGTAAATATTGTCCCAATACCGAAACAAGACAAAAACCCAGAATTTGTTTGGAATTACCGACCCATCTTCCTGCTCAACATAGATATTAAACTTTATTCATCGATGTTGGCAGAGAGAATGAAAACAGTAATTGAAGGTCTGATAAATTGAGACCAAGTGGAATTTATTCAGGGGAGATCGGCAATTCATTATACTAGACATTCTAGACGCTGTTGGGGACTCCCTTGCTGACGCTTTCATTAGATGCAGAAAAAGCTTTTGACTGGGTCAGTTGGGAGTTCCTAAAGTTTAACCTGTCAACCTTTGGAATGGAGGGTAGGTTCTTTGGACAAATAAGAGCATTATATACAACTACAACTGCTAAGGTTTTGGGACAGGGCTTTACTTCTGATTGGTTCCCTTTAACTAATGGAACTAGACAGGGGTGTCCCCTATCCCCTTTGCTTTATATTTTGTCTTTACAACCGTTAGCTGCCGCCATAAGACAAAATGAGGGAATTCGGGAATTTAATCCTGATACAAGTAATATCAAGATAAACATGTATGCCGACGATGTAGTTTGGACGCTACAAGATCTGGTTCAATCATTAACACAACTGGTAAAAATAATAGAAGAATTCGCAAAAATATCAGGATATAATTTAAACATGGATAAATCAGCAATTTTACCAAGCAATATCTCTAACAAAGTTTAAAATAAAATTGTAGAAAAGTTAGATTTTTTTTATGGGCGGAACATTAATTTAAGTACCTAGGCATTAATGTGTCCTCAGACAGGCGCGGACTGAGAACCCTCAGGGCCCCCGGGCAAAATAAATCAAGGGCCCCCTTACAGGCCTCACCCATGCTTCGCAGCAAGCCCCACCCTTGTCCCGCCTCCAGCCACACCCTACACAATCTTTAGACACAAGGAACAAAAGTGCAATAAATTCTAAACAAGTGCAATATAATTAACAAATGCAAAAAACAAACTGTGCAAAATAAATAACAATAATCCCCTCAAGGACCCCAGTAGAGACTACAATTGAGGGCTAATGGGCCATGGAGGGGGGTCTTCTAGCAGAGGCTATCTCAGTGTCCTTTAGAGAGTGTGTTAGAAAGAATCCCCTCAAGGCCCCATTAGAGATTACAATGGAGTCCAATAGGCTTGGAAGGGGGTCTTTCTAACAGAGGCCATCTCAGCGTCCATTAGAGAGCCTCTGTTAGAAACAGTCGCCTCCAGGCCCCAGTAGAGACTACAATTAAGGGGTTATGGGCCATGAGGGGGGTCTTTCTAGCAGAGGCTATCTCAGTGTCCTTTAGAGAGTGTTAGAAAGAATCTCCTCCAGGCCCCATTAGAGACTACAATGTCTACAGAGTCTAATGGGGCCTGGAGGGGTGTCTTTCTAACACTCTGGTTCTTATTCACAATATAGCAACACAGCATAGCTCGCCAAGTTGGCTCCTCTCACCTTAATTACTGTTGCTGGCTGGCAGTCTGGTTACGGCTGGCAGGCTGTGGGCTTGCTGACTGCGGCTGGCAGGCTGTGGGCTTGCTGGCTACTGCCGGCTGGCTGCGGCTGGCAGGCTGTGGGCTTGCTGGCTGTGCCTGGCAGGCTGTGGCTTGCTGGCTACGGCTGGCAGGCTGTGGGCTTGCTGGCTGTAAGCCTGTGGTTGGCTGCTGGCCTGTAGGCTGGTTAACTGGTGGCCTGTGGGCTGGATGGCTGGCCTGTGGCTAGCTGGCTGGCTACTGGCCTGGTTGGCCTGTGGGCTGGCTGGCTGGTGGCCTGTTGGCTGGCTGGCCTCTAAAGATGGCTGACAAAGGTGTGGCTGAGCCTTGTCTTTTGGGCTTTGTAAGGCAGTGTGCGGAATACAATGAAATCCAGATTGTGCGGGTGGCATGACGTCGACGCGCCTCCGCGTACAGGACTCCATGGAAACCCAGGACCGGGCCCCTCCTCCTATGCTGAGGTAAGTAGCGTCAGCCGCCGTGCCCCGATAGCCGGGTGAAAATAACTCTGTAGTCAGTGCACATTCTGTTATGTGCATGGCTGCACGCACAGTGCCTTGGCGCGGTGGGCAGGTCAGCCACCAGAAATGTTGGGGCCCCTGATGCAGCTCAAGGTCTGGGCCTCCGGGGCCTGCCCACATGGCCCGCCCCCAAGTCAGCCCACATAACCCATCTTGAGTCCACCCACAAGGATGAAGTGTGTGTGTGTACTGAATTTGGTTGTGTGCGTGTATAGTGGCTGTAGAATGTGTGTAGTGGATGCAAAATGCATGAGTAAAGTGGATACAGTGTTTATAGTGGATTCCGACTGAATGTTTGTGTAGTGGATAGAGAGTGTGTGTAGAGAGGATGAATCGTGTGTATATGCAGAGTGTGTGTTTGTGTAGTGGATGTAGTGTGTAGTGAATTATGTGTGTTTGTTTGTGTAGTGAGTGCTATGTGTGTGTTTGTGTAGTGGATACTGTGTGTGTGTTTGTGTAGTGGATAATGTGTGTGTTTGTGTAGTAAATGCTGTGTGTTTGTCTAGTGGATGATGTGTGTTTGTGTAGTGAATGCTGCGTGTGTGTTTGTGTAGTGGATGCAGTGTGTGTGTATTTTTTAGCTGTTGAATTTTTATAATTAAAAAAAAAAAATGTATTTCTCCCTCTCTACCTCTTACCTGTAGCCAAGGATGGGGGACACTGTAGTGTGTGGTTGTTTAGTGGATGCAGTTTGTGTGTTTGTGTGGTGGATTATGTATGTGGTTGTGTAGTGAATGATGTGTGTGGTTGTGTAGTGGATGATGTATGTGGTTGTGTAGTGGATGATGTGTATTTGTGTAGTGGATGATGTGTGTGGTTGTGAAGTGGATGGTGTGTGGTTGTGTAGTGGATGATGTGTGTGGTTGTGTAGTGGATGATTTGTGTGGTTGTGTAGTGGATGGTGTGTGGTTGTGTAGTGGATGATGTGTGTGGTTGTGTAGTGGATGATGTGTATTTGTGTAGTGCATGATGTGTGTGGTTGTGTAGTGGATGATGTGTGTGGTTATGTAGTGGATGATGTGTATTTGTGTAGTGGATGATGTGTGTATATGTGTAGTGGATGATGTGTATTTGGTAGTGGATGATGTGTATGGTTGTGTAGTGGATGATGTGTGTGGTTGTGTTGTGGATGATGTGTATTTGTGTAGTGGATGATGTGTGTGGTTGTGTAGTGGATGATGTGTATTTGTGTAGTGTTTGATGTGTATTTGTGTAGTGGATGATGTGTGTGGTTGTGTAGTGGATCATGTGTATTTGTGCAGTGAATGATGTGTGTGGTTGTGTAGTGGATGATGTGTATTTGTGTAGTGGATGATGTGTGGTTGTGTAGTGGATGATGTGTATGTGTATTTGTGTAGTGGATGATGTGTATTTGTGTAGTGGATGATGTGTATGGTTGTGTAGTGGATGATGTGTGTGGTTGTGTAGTGGATGATGTGTATTTGTGTAGTGGATGATGTCTGTGGTTGTGTAGTGGATGATGTGTATTTGTGTAGTGTTTGATGAGTATTTGTGTAGTGGATGATGTGTGTGGTTGTGTAGTGGATGATGTGTATTTGTGTAGTGGATGATGTGTGTGGTTGTGAAGTGGATGATGTGTGTGGTTGTGTAGTGGATGATGTGTATTTGTGTAGTGGATAATGTGTGTGGTTGTGTAGTGTATGATGTGTATTTGTGTAGTGGATGATGTGTGTGGTTGTGTAGTGGATGCATTTTGTATGTTTGATGTATGTGTGTGGTGGATGTGTGACATATGCTGCTGGGGGGTATTTTTTAGCGGTTGAATTTTTATATATATATATATATATATATATATATATATATATTTTAAATGTATTTCCCCCTCCCTGCCTTTTACCTGTAGCCAGGGAGGGGGACAGTGGATTCCCTGGTGGTCCGGTGACTCAGCTTTATGGGCCAGCATAGAGTGGCCCAGCAGACATCTTCCCCCTCCTACAGCCAGTGCTCTTTATCTTTAACGAGCCCAGCATGCATTGCGTGCCACGGAGCGTTGTCACAGCAACCTGCGGCAACGCTTTACTGCTGTGGCTCGCGTGAGTCCCGGAGGGGGAAGGTGAGTGTGTCCTGGGCTCTGCTTGGAAGCCAGCAGGGCCCGCAGAGGCATATATATATAGCGGTACTCGCCATATATATATGCAGATGGAAGGGCTGGGGGCCTGGGCATGCAGAGGATTACCTGTGCAGTCCGTGCCCCCTGGCGGCGGGCCCCCCTCCCGGCCGGGCCCTCGAACCATGTCCGAAGTGCCCGACCGGTCAGTCCGCTCCTGTCAGATCCAACTAAGATAATTGAATGTAACTTCCCCCTTTAATTTCTCAAACAAATAAATCGTTGAAAGAATGGAAATGGATGGAATGGTCTTAGTGGGGAAGAATGAACATTATAAAATCAAATATATAGCCAAAGTGGCTGTATATGATGAGAATGATTCATCTCCCCATCCCAGACAGTTGGCTAACAATGATACAGCACACATTTTAATTCATATGGCAAGGTAAAAAGCCAAGATTGGCCAGTAAATATTTAGCGTTCGAAAAAACATAGAGGGGGGTGGGATTTCTATTGATTCATCAATATTATAAAGCACGTTTGCTATTCCCTAGTATTATCGCAAACATGTATTTGTCTAAAAGAGAACGTTAGTATGAGGTTGAACAGAGGCTTATGGAAAAAAGTGACGTATTGAAAATGTTTTGGTCCGTGCAAGAGTCAAATTCTTCCCTTTTAAAGTTGAGTTCTGGTAGTATTGTGGTGAATTCTATTCTCAAAATGTGGCTAAAGATAAAATGCCACATGAAAATAAGAAAACAGATAATTAAAGCCCTACCTATTCAGATTCTTTCTTATTATATTGAAGATCTAAAACTAGACCGACGGACCAATGCGGGTATTGAGATAATTGCAGACGTAATGTTAGATCCTAAGATCATGACATTTGAAAATATTAGAGAGAAATTTTTCTTACCACTTATGGAACCGTTTCATTTTATAAGGATTAAAAAAAATTTTAAAGTCTTTTTGCCCTGCAGAAAATCTCAAAATGTATGAGACTTTAGGAAAACTTATTACTGACCATGAGACAAAAAAAATCTCTTAAAAAAATGTTCCACTATTTTGAGAATGTACGACTTGCCTCAATTATTTCCAGCACCTAAAAAAATGGGGAAAAGATTAAAAAAAAAAATTTCAAGTACAGAATGGACATAATCATGGAATTTGGTATTAAAAAACACAAATTGTTGGAATTTAACAGAACTACAATTTAGAATTATGAATAGACTTTGATTTTATACACATCTGGTGGAATTGTGATTTAATCCAAATTTATCTGAAGAATTTACACTTGCAGATTCAATATATTGCAAAGATAGATTTGCCCTTCAACCCTGAAATATTTTTGATGCATTTTGAAAATTATTAATTTTAATTGAATGCTTAAAAACGTTTCTAATTCACATACAGGTGCAAGCAAAAATTATTGTTGCTAGATATTAGAAACAAGATATATTGCCTAATTGGTTTTTAATAAAAGAACAAGTATTGTTTCAGTTGGAAATGGAAAAAGGATTAAAGGATTAATATATCAGCGAGATAAAACTAAAGAGTATATTGAAACATGGATAGAAAAAATCCCTGTCTACCACTAACCTAATAAGGTAAATTTATCTTGTTTGCGAACAACTCCTGATGCTTAATTCTAATGATTGGGATTGTGTTATTTTTTCTCTTTCTGTGTTTTTAATTTGTCTTTTGGCTTTTTAAAAAAAAAATTATCTCTAATAAGACATACAAAGTATAACTAAGGGTGGACTGGCAGGAACTCATCGCTCAATGTTAATGTCATTGTAAGTGTTTAACAGATAAAAAGTTATAATCCAAGAAGGTTTGTGCCCCAGAGTAAAATTGTCTAGTATATAAGTAAACTAGATGTCAAATATTTTTTCCCCCCGGATATTTATGGAATTAATCTATTCTAGTTCTAGTGGCCTTCAAAAAGTGTGGTCATTTAAGGCCTGGTTCCTCATTAAGGTAATTCTGTATAAACCTTTTCAAAGTGTATATTTACATATATTCTGTGTATAATATTTATAAGTGATTATACTTGAAGAGTTTCTTCTCAAGTTGCATTGTGGCCCTCAAGTCCCCAAAAATGTTGCTCTGGAAATTCTGTGCTGCAACAGGTTTAACAATTTCGGAGAAGGGAAAAAAAAAAGTTGAATATTTAATTCTGTGACATCCTAAAAATTTACATCTGTGGTTCTAATTGTAATTTTCCATGCAGTTAACTTTTCTTGTAGTGTCTTGGGATCTGAAAAGGAATATGTGCCTCCATCATGCGATATCTATATCTTATATCATTAGATCTCAGAATTCAGGTCTGATCTATAAATCAGATCTGGTAGCGCAAGAAATATCTTAAGACAACTTTAGATCTTTAAAAATAAGATAACATGAAGCAGACCTCTGGGTAAATAAAAGCTTGACTCCAGAGTCTGCAACACAAAAGGACTGTGTGGGTAGTGAGGGTCATAAACCCAAATTGAATGTAGAGAGAAGGAAACCCTGGCGGGTCAAAAGAGTGAAGGGTAAAAATGCCGTTCCTATATTGTTCCACCCAGGGAATACCCACAATGGTAAGGGCGACTCAGGGGCACACAAGAAAAGTATATTAAAACAAATTCTTTATTGAGTAAATATTAATAGAAAAAAATAATAATAAAAATGAAAAAAAAAAAATAATAATAAATAACTGGTGGTGCAACACACAAACGTGCTGGTGAAATTAAAAAGGAAAAGCTTGATGCAGCATCAGTTTGTCCTCGCTAGTATAAACATGAATTGCTATAGGTTAATAAAAATAAATTGAGATTAAACCTAAGCCATTAAAGCGATAACAGTAAGTCACTAAATGGAGGTATACCTTTAAAGATTAAAAACCAGACACTTAAACTATAGTGTTCCAGATAGTAGGTATAGAAGTCTAACAATATATTGAACTTGAGGAAAATGGTCTATCTCTCTATCCTGTTTGAGAGATTAAATTAGAAATTGGATTATAAGGGTGATCGCAGCTCAAGTACAAAGAAGGGGTTGAAGTAAATTTAATTGCCATATACTGAATAAATCCCCCCCTGTTACTGCCTGCGATAACCCAATATTTAATCCTAATAATCCCCAAGATTAATGGGCATATATGTATAGCTTCAATAAATCTCTTATTGTTATCAGAGAGAAGTAAGGGCTAGGCAGCCTGAGACAGCCTTCTATAAAATGTAATAAAGCTCTTCAGAGGGATAGGCTAATAGAGGAAACCATAGCTAGACATAGGAATAAAAGTTGCTTTAAGCAATAACCTAGTCTTAATTGCATATGGTATATCCAATATTATGAACCTGAGGGATGCTTAAAAAAAACTCCCCTAATTACATATTTAGTCTAATGGTCAGACTTCGTAGCCTCTAAAATAGTCTATAAGTCTACTAATATAACCAGACTACAGGATCCCCCCTAGAAAAAAGTAGAAATTGCCTCTAAAGAAACTCTATACATAGAGATCATAAATAGAAACAAAGTAGACTGCTGACACTATCTAAATGTGTCCAAAAGGAGTAGCTATCAAAGGAACAAAAGTAAAGCCATCTCACTAGACTGCTGCTAAATGGATTGCTGCATAAACTGTCTAGAGCTACAAATTGCTAGTGTATATAATCATTCCCCAAATCAGCTAAGGAAAGCATTGCTGCAAACAAGAATCAACCTAATTAAAAAAAAAACCCTGTCTAACTCGACGCGCGTTTCAATACACTATGGCGCATTTTTCAAGAGTGTCTCTGTGCCGAGGTATCACTCCGGTCTTTTAAATGAGTAAGACCCGCCTCCAAATGACTACGTCAGCTAGCCACGCCCTGTCTTAAAGCGTCCGAGAAACGGAGGCTGTACAGGGACAAAAATAGAAAGTCAAAGCATAAATGCCGATCGGATCGGTTGAGAGTAGTAGAAATAAGCTAGCTATCTCTATCAGAAGGTAGAGTTGACCCTTAGAAGGCAAGGAGATTGAAAGTTTAACAATAAAAGAAATGTTGAAGAATGAAAAGTTACATAGTTCCCAGTTAAGATAGTCAGAAAAGGCTGAAAATTAAACTGCTAGAAATTGAAAAATGGTTAGAGGGTTATAAGTATCTTCTATTAGAGTAATAGAAAGACGGAACTCTGCATTCTATCTAATTAAAAATGGGAAAATAAAATCCAGAAAAAGCCCTTACGAGTTCAAAAGTTAGGCTTAACCGATAAAGTACATGTCTAAAGTGAAAACAGGTACAGGAAAATTAACAAAAATTCAGTCATTATAAATGTTACCCTTTGTGCCAATCACTGTGAACACATTGTATAAATGTGTCCGGCTTTGTAAAAAGCTGTAGTTCACCCATATTCATAAGAAAGGGGAAAACGAGAACCCCTCATTAAGACCCCTAGGGCTTAGGGTTTTTAATCTAAAGATCCAGAAGGATTCTCGTTGTCTCAAGAATTTGTCATAATTCCCCCTCCTAGGGCTTTTCTTCACAAGTTCAAGGCTGCAAAAGCGTAGCCCCTTGGAATCCCCATTATGATATTCCCTAAGGTGTCTTGAGATAGGGTTATCAAGAGGATTTCTAGGGGATCGTACATGCTCTTGAATATGCTTTTTAAATGGCCTGAAGGTTTTTCCCACATATTTTAACTTGCACTGACATGTGAGTAGATACACGAGTCCATCCGTATTGCAGTTGGAAAAAGAGGAAATAGTAAATTCTTCCACATCCTCACTGTCCTTCATGGTTTTAGAATCTTTCTTTATAAATTTACAAGTGGTACATCTACCACAGGGAAAACTACCTGTCACAGGGCTCTGGAGCCATATAGTGGGATGTTTCAGCTGTAAATGGCTGGGGGACAAAATGTCCCTCAAGTTTCTCCCTCTACGTGCGGTGATGGCAGCATTGGGGGGTAATCTCTCTTTTAGCTGTTCATCATCCGTGAGTATGGGCCAAAAACGCTGAAGAGATTCTTTTATTCTGCTCCAACCAGCATCATATGTAGCTATGAGTCGAATAATATTTGACTCTTTTGAATTTGTGATTAAAGGTGTATCATTTATAAGTGTATTCCTGTCTGATTCAAGAGCTTTCTTGTAAGCTCATTTTAAACATTTATTAGAGTATCCTTTCTCCCTAAAATGTGTTCTCATATCGTGTGCTTTAATTTAAAATTCTTCAATTGAGCTACAGTTGCGTCTGACCCTCAAGTACTGACCTACAGGGATACCCTGTCTCAGGGGTTGGAGATGAAAACTATCGCACCTGAGAAGGTTGTTGGTAGCTGATTTTTTCTTGTATAGGGTAGTTTGTAAGCTATTTTGGTTGGTAATGGAAATTGTTATGTCCAGAAAGTTAATGTTCGTACCACCATACTCGCTTGTGAATCTGAGGTTTTCATCATTCACATTGAGGACTTTAACAAAGTCATTGAACTCTTCTTCATTGCCTAGCCAGATTAATAACACATCATCGATATATCGACGCCATAAGAATATAGATGGGAGGTATCTTGCTATGATATCAGATTTGACCATATTTTCCTCCCACCATCCAAGGTGAAGGTTAGCATACGATGGGGCACAAGCTGTCCCCATTGCATTACCCCTCACCTGTTGATAAAATTTGTTTTTGAAGGTGAAATAATTATGTGTCAAAATAAATTTGAGAAGTTTAACACAAAAATGTGTGTGATAATTATGTTGTTCCCCTCTCTGTGCTAGGAAATGTTTAGTGTGTGTAATCCCATTGTCATGAGGGATAGATGAGTACAGTGCCTCAATGTCTAAACTACACAGTTTTGCTAATGGGGGTATCTCTAGGTTTGACAAAAGAGCAAGAGTTTGTTTAGTATCCTTGAGATGGGATGGTTGTCTTTCTACAAAAGGTCTTAAGATTTGGTCCATATAGATGCTCCCGTTCTGGGTCAAATTTTCCATACCTGACACAATGGGGCATCCTGGGGGGGGGTTTCAATGTTCTTAGGCAAACAGTTAAAGGTTGCTATCCTAGGGTGGCGATTCAGAACAAATTCAAACTCGTCACCGCTAGCACCCCTTCACTGCAGCCTTGGTCCAAGATGTTTTTATATTCAGTCATGAAATTATTCGTGGGATCAACTTTCAAAATTGTATAGGTGTCCCTATCCTCCCGAACTCTCATTACCATTTCAATATATTTTTCCAGGTTCATGATAAAAATGTTACCGCCCTTGTCTGCTGGCTTTATAATCAATTCAATATCGTCTTTTGAACTCGTAAGGGCTTTTTCAGGATTTTATTTTCCCATTTTTAATTAGATAGAATGCAGAGTTCCGTCTTTCCTAAATATTCTATGCTTAGTACTTTCTTACAAGTTAGTATGTATGAGGATTTTGATGATTTTACGCTAGAGGGTTTCTTCAAACAATAGGACCTCGAGGTTTGTAAAATGAGAAATTATAATAAAATATATTTTCTAGCTTGGCTACTAATTTATCATAATAGTTATAGCTATAACAGTTCCCCTTTTTTTTCTGGGGCTCTGTTTATTAAATAACTATCAATTAGTAGGTATTCCAAATTACTCTAATAGAAGATACTTATAACCCTCTAAACATTTTTCAATTTCTAGCAGTTTAATTTTCAGCCTTTTCTGGCTATCTTAACTGGGGACTATGTAACTTTTCATTCTTCAACATTTCTTTTTTTGTTAAACTTTCAATCTCCTTGCCTTCTAAGGGTCAACTCTACCTTCTGGTAGAGATAGCTAGCTTATTTCTACTACTCTCAACCGATCCGATCGGCATTTATGCTTTGACTTTCTATTTTTGTCCCTGTACAGCCTCCGTTTCTCGGACGCTTTAAGACAGGGCGTGGCTAGCTGACGTAGTCATTTGGAGGCGGGTCTTACTCATTTAAAAGACCGGAGTGATACCTCAGCACGGAGACACTCTTGAAAAAGGCGCCATGAAAAAGGCGCCATAGTGCGCTGAAACGCGCGTCGAGTTAGACAGGGTTTATTTTTTAAATTATGTTGAGTCTTGTTTGCAGCAATGCTTTCCTTAGCTGATTTGGGGAATGATTATATACACTAGCAATTTGTAGCTCTAGACAGTTTATGCAGCAATCCGTTTAGCAGCAGTCTAGTGAGATGGCTTTACTTTTGTTCCTTTGATAGCTACTCCTTTTGGACACATTTAGATAGTGTCAGCAGTCTACTTTGTTTCTATTTATGATCTCTATATATCAAGTTTCTTTAGAGGCAATTTCTACTTTTTTCTAGGGGGGATCCTGTAGTCTGGTTATATATATGACGAAGGTGCTCTTGCAGCACCGAAACGCGCGTCGGGCTTTAGCTTAGTTCTCACTTATATTCACTAATGGTGGCACTAGGTTTTTGAATCCACTTTATTATTTTATGTTTTGTTAGTACTTAATCTCGCATTATATATGGGGGGGTACCTTTAGCTATTTCTCTATTGGCTATCTGCTCTATTATCTAGGGACAGACTAGAACGCCCTCGAAGGCGTTTATATTTAGGAGTTTCAGGGACTCTATAGATATTTATCTTCTCTCTGCTCCTTTTGTTATTTATTTTATTTTATTTCTAGTTGTCTCATTTAGACCTTTTTTCAATACTAGATTTAACTTATATATAATAGCCTGTGTTATTTTTCATTCTTTCTGAGTGTCTGTCTACAAGGTGCAGTTTAGCCTCGGTATTAGGCAGTATTTTCTAGCCTTAACATTAGATTTTGATGACTTTTTTCTCTGCAGGGATTCTATAGAGTTCTATTAGGTCCTCTATCCACTTGCCAATACTAGTATTATATGTATTATATTTACTGACCTCTTCTCTCAAATACTCACCTGCAGTTCTTTTCATCTATATGGCTAGTATTTCCCCCTCCTAGCTTATTGCTAGATTTAATTAGTAAGATATCCGTGCCTGTATCTAGGAAGTCTGCTGCTTGGAATTCTTTGGTAATTTAATAAAGCACTTGCATTTTATTTCTTTGCAGCATCCATGACTATGATCAGAGCTAGAGACTTACGTATATGCATCGAGATTAAGTGTTAATTTGGGAACACATTTATTGTAGAATATCTCTCTATATACTGCTTTATTTAAAATCAGTTTGGAGTCTCTTATCCTTAGATACTCCGAGTATATTTTGATTTTTTTACTGGTTATATTAGTAGACTTGTAGACTATTTTAGAGGCTACGAAGTCTGACCATTAGACTAAATACATAATTAGGGGGTTTTTTTTGAAGCATCCCTCAGGTTCATAATATTGGATATACCATATGCAATTAAGACTAGGTTATTGCTTAAAGCAACTTTTATTCCTATGTCTAGCTATGGTTTCCTCTATTAGCCTATCCCTCTGAAGAGCTTTATTACATTTTATAGAAGGCTGTCTCAGGCTGCCTAGCCCTTACTTCTCTCTGAAAACAATAAGAGATTTATTGAAGCTATACATATATGCCCATTAATCTTGGGGATTATTAGGATTAAATATTGGGTTATCGCATGCAGTAACAGGGGGGGATTTATTCAGTATATGGCAATTAAATTTACTTCAACCCCTTCTTTGTACTTGAGCTGCGATCATCCTTATAATCCAATTTCTAATTTAATCTCTCAAACAGGATAGAGAGATAGACTATTTTCCTCAAGTTCAATATATTGTTAGACTTCTATACCTACTATCTGGAACACTATAGTTTAAGTGTCTGGTTTTTAATCTTTAAAGGTATACCTCCATTTAGTGACTTACTGTTATCGCTTTAATGGCTTAGGTTAAATCTCAATTTATTTTTATTAACCTATAGCAATTCATGTTTATACTAGCGAGGACAAACTGATGCTGCATCAAGCTTTTCCTTTTTAATTTCACCAGCACGTTTGTGTGTTGCACCACCAGTTATTTATTATTAATTTTTTTTTCATTTTCAATATTTACTCAATAAAGATTTTGTTTTAATATACTTTTCTTGTGTGCCCCCTGAGTCGCCCTTACCGTTCTGGGTATTCCCTGTGTGGAACAATATAGAAACGGCATTTTTGCCCTTTACTCTTTTGACCGCCAGGGTTTCCTTCTCTCTAACTTTAGATCTATATAGGCATCTTCGAGTAGAGTTTTCTTTCTAGTTGCTTGTAGAATTAGATCTTTCATATGATAGCTGGAAAAACTAATCAAAACATCTCTCGGAAGTTTCTTATCTAACGCCTTGGGATTTGCAGTTCGGTTAAATCTTTCAAATGAAAATACATCCAATTTTATTGGCGATAACAGAGAGTTAGAAAGTTCACATAAGTATGTGCCTAACTGGTCTTGAGTAATTGACTCTTTTATCCCATGGATTCTTAGATTTTTTTCTTCTTCCTCAGTCCTCGAGACCGGTGACCTTGTTTTCTAGATATTTGATTATTTTTTATAGTTGTACATTTTCTGTTTTGCAATGAATTATAATCTACTTTCTCTAGGGTTATCGCTAGCAAATTAAGT